ATATCTGAGATGTAGTGCATGATTAGAATTTACCTGATTAATAAATGTTAGAGTGAATTTCTGTTTGAAACTAAGGCATTTGAAAAGTACTTTGAAAAGAACAGATGATTTAGAGTAAGAATTTGATGCATTTGACATATGAAAAATTGCCTTGATGAAATTATTTGGGTGACACTAACTATTATGGTCCATTTTCCTACTTTCAAGGCTAATATTGCTGGGCAATAAGACTAAATCATTTGGTGATCCCACTTTAATCTATAAATGGCACATGCATTCTTCACAGGATATAATTTTGAGAGCCCTTTAATGCCTATTTTCTTCATTCACTTTCACCCAAAACTTTAAAACCGGATCATTACTGAAATAGATTTCATGCCTTTGTAGCATTGAAAGGTAAAGAACCTTCATTTCTGTAGACTCGCAAAGTGGATAAATGTAATCTTTTCGTACTAGCTTAAGAGTACTTATTTTATTTTTTTCTGTATCAGTGCCCCAAAGAAGAATGTGTTCTGTTATTCTCTCATCTCTACCTTATTTAAAAACAACAAAACTACCTCTTGCATTGCTATAAGTCAAACTTAAGGACACAACTTTTGACATATTAAAGAGTGTTCCTATTCATAATTTCACTTTAAAATGTTGTATTTGGATCTTTGAAAAAGAGTGGCCTCTGTTCTAATTTTATTTTCAAATGGTTGCGAACTTCTTTTGCCTATAGGGTTTATGAGATTTCTAATTTTACATTGCAAAAAGATTTACCTTCTGCAGATGAGGTAGAAACTAAAAGTTGAAATGGTTTGTTTCCTTCAGATAACATTTAATTTGCCTTTAATCCTAAAGGATAAGAAAAAGAGAAAATTTGAATTCAAGTCACATTTCTCCCAAGAACTATTCTGAGATTTCTTCTATTCTCGAAATTGAAAGCCAAGTGAGTTAATTGAATGTTATCATACCTTGAAGCTAAGTACAATTTCAGTTTGAAATATGGGATTCTTTCCTCTTTCCAGAATAATCAGCTTTAGAGTTGCAATTTGTTGAATAGCTAATCAAGCACTGTCCACGCTGAAAAGCAAAGAAGACTTACCCAAAAGTATTGGATATAGGCATGCTCCAGGTGCTCCAGGATACCTATCACCGTACTCCGTTAACTGGCCCTTCTGGATGGCTGTTGAGATGAATGAGTCTACCTGAATTTTGGTTTGCTTTCCCTATATATTCAGCAAACCAAAAAGGAGACAACAAATCAAACATATGTCTGGAAGTCAGTAAGCACAAATTAAACTAATTGTGTACTTTAGCTTTCTACATGGCTAAAAATGGTGGACTCAATACACCTTCTTCTTTCTACCCATTATTTCTGACTGTACTGTAGTGTACAAAGTAAGTCAAAGCACTAGTTAGTATTTAATAGCTGCACTGTATCCATTAAGTCCTCTTTTGTAAAATTTGGATTTATAGCTAATAATTTTGTCCATTCTTTGTAAGCACACTTGTGAGTCAGCTCTCATCATGGAGAGTTCTGAAGCTTAGCAGAAAGGTGCATGCAAAATAAAGGTTAAAAACTGTTCGTTGGGGGTGCCTGGGTGGCTGAGCGGGTTAAGCATCTGACTTCAGCTCCAGTCATGATCTCAGGGTCCTGGGATTGAGACTTCATTAGGCTCTCTGCTCAACAGAGCCTGCTTCCCCCTCTCTCTGCCTGCTTGTGATCTCTGTCTGTCAAATAAATAAATAAAATCTTTTTAAAAAATATAATTTAGAAAGTGTTCATTAGCTTCCAGGTGAATTGTTTATATGTCGGGTACTAAGATTTTGTATACACCACATATTTGGATCATATCAATATTCAAGTCACTCTTTTGAGTATTCTTTTATTCTCCAAATGTTTTTTTCAAGAAGACATATATGTTTTTACATGTGTGTATGTCTGTATGTGGTTATGTGAATGCAATTTTCCTCAGAATATTTATTTTTGGAGCAGGTTATAGGAAAGTTGTAAGTTAACTTTTTATAGAACCTTATTTTAAGGATAACTTTGCCTTCAATCTCCACTTCAGATCTGTTTATACGGATTTGTCATAGAAAACTTTCTGATGATACATCTTCAGTGATTCCTGCAAGATTTATTAATTTCCCAGTGTTTGCAAAAAGAATATTTGGAATTCTTGTAAAAAAAAAAACTTGGATAGAAAAATTATCATGATTATTTATATTTCCTCTAGCTAGCAGCTACCATTTTGCATAGGGTCTGTCTGTAGGAAATTATTTTATTAGAAATAAGGAAATTGATTTCAAAGTTATATTTTATTTAGATCTATAAATATCAGCTAAGGCTTACAAAATGTGTTGTCCAAGACACATGAGTGATTCCATAGCTGATTCTATATGGAATCACATATGATTCCATAGCTAATTATCTATGGCCCACTAAATACTCAAGAATTGATATACAAACTCTTTGCCCACTCAAGTCTTTGAGAATTTTCTTCTGACATGGACAAATTGGAGTTCTTAAAACAAGATATTAAGTGCTAAGATGACTTCAATCTATTTGCAGAACATCTATACATCATTATATTTTTTTCTTGACTCAAAGTAGTAGAATTTTTAAAAAATAATATTTAATCACATTTATAATAATGATGTAATTGTCTAGTTTCAGAGTTCATATAAAATATAACACTTGGAATGCTCTCATTAACAAAATTCTAGAATAAATCAACACAGAAACATAGCATTTCAGCACTATAGAAGCTCCATTTTGCCTCCATAGTATATTTAACATTAGGGGCTTAGAAGCAATCCATTATCATTATAATATATAATTAAAATTAGATGGATCAGAGGTGCTTTTTTCATATAATCAGGGAAATATTTTCATACTGAAAACCATGCAGAGGACCTTGGGTTTTATGCAAATGGTTAAGTGTACAGATACGTTTTCAGCTTTCAAACCTCATCTGTAATGTTACCAGGTGAATATTAAGAAAACAAAGCAAACAAAAGAAAATAAAATAATCTGTGAATAGTTTATGAAAAATCTAAATCCAAAGCCAAACTGTGGTGTAATGGAATTCCCAAACCTGACCTTCCTGCTCCCTTTTGCATAGGAAAGTCCTAACACCAGTATCCACAGTAATTCTCCACAAGTGTATATTTCTTTCAGTGTGAATGTGGTCGAACATTAGTATAATCAGAGTATGTGTCTCCAGAGGTCATTCCCCAAGGCCCCTGGGTGTTGTTGTTGTTGTTGTTTTCCTGATACAGCATTATACGAAAATGCACACCATTATGATATTAAAAAATGATAAAGCAGCATTTGGAAAGCTAAAATGTGATAAAAAACTTAAATTAAATTTTATTCCTTGAGCTTATTACACATATTGAGAATTATTCAAACTAAGCTTACTTATTTCCCATACCTCTGAACTGAAATATGATAGCACAGAGTAATTGCAAACAGAGGCAAAATTTAAAATTTTGCACATAGGTGGAATCAGAAAGTGCCACGTAACTTTTGAGGACACTTGATTATGAGAAATTTAAAGAGCTAAGGAAAAACTCCTTCTTGAGATAATTTTTAAATTGTGGATTTTAAAACTTCAATCTATTTGAAATACATAAATATGGTAATTTTTGGAGACTAGGACCATTATGCTTATTTTAAGACCAAGAGTGACAACAGCAAAATATTATTTAAACCATTTTAGGGGGGAAAAAAAAAACAAGAAATTTGAAGAAAATTAGTTTATTTGGGAAAATATCAAAATAATTAAACGTGTATTATGTTTAGTTAGCGATTGCTACACTGTTGAAGGTTTTATGAAATTCTCTCGTGATAATATATTTTATTCAAAAATGTATGTAACTATTTGTCAGCTAACAGAATTAGAAAATTAGATAGTGTCTGCAAGCCTTTACATGACAGAACGCTTTGCAGTTGGCAAAGCACTTTTACAGATGCTTCTTGATCCTCACACAACCTGTGAGACAGGAGGGAAGTCTTTGCCATCTCTATTTTGTGGTTTGGGACCCTGAAGCTCAGAGACTTTGAGGCACATTTCCAAGTATAATAAGGGTGAATCTCCTATTTTTTTTTGCTTCAGTTTTATAAATTTTACTGTAGATCCCAAACAGATAAGGGCTAAGCAGTCAGTGAGATGAGGACAATCTGAACCTGTGTAAGGAATAAAGGTAAGTCAATCCAAGGTCTACAAGATTTATGTAAATTGGAGTATCAGCTTTTCAGATTACATTGTTATCATGTGAGGTACATATTTTCAATGACCACTTGTGTTATATAAATAAGCAAATTAGACTGAAGTATAAACCAAGCAGCAAAATGCCCAACAACTAATTTTAGGTATTGGCATGATCAAAACTGCCGATGTAAATGTCTTAAAACAAATGGAATGGAACAAATCATTGAGTTTTCCAATGTTTTATACAGGATAAAGTTTGTCACTATATTTTAAATTAAATCTTTCCCTGACAAAGAAGATTATCTGAGTATATCTTACTTAAACCATTCATTCTATCCGGTAAAAAAAAAGGGGGGGTTCTTTTGTTAAAAGAAAGGAGGGCAGGCAGGACAGAGACGGTAGTCTCCGTGCTTCAGAGCGGTGCACAACAGGTGCGCAGAAGTTGCATACATTATAGTGCAAGCAGCAAATCCCCATGCTCCATCAATTTTGTATGGAGAAAAGAAGTGGGGAGGGCAAAAGAAAATGGTACATACAAGTCCATGATGGAGTGACCTGGTATACTGGATATAACTCATGTCAGTTGAACACAAGACAATGCTAATAAGATCTGTCGTAGTAACAGAGTATGGGTCTCAAGAGTCCACAGAAGTGGAAAAAGAGGTCCCGATTACCAGCATAAGCTTCATTTTGTGGTGTACCACCCCTAATCATAAGTGATTTTGAATCTTTCTGTTTAGTTTTGATTTTCGAAAATAAATCACAAAATATTGAAACAAATATCATTGTTTGGCTTAATTCAGGTATTCTTAATTAAACAGTACCACAGACTTTATTGAGCAATTGAAAATATACACAAGGAACAATAGCTTTTTCTCTGTATTTTTTTTTTTTTTAATTTGACTGTCTTCTGATTAAATAACCCAGTTTCGATCATGGAAAGGGCACTTGTTTCTACAGTAGCTGTGTACAGCTTGCTCAGTTCCAAGTACTGTCTCCACGTTTCTTCCTTGTCATTGTTGAGGTTGTATCTCCACTTGCTCAGGAAGCAAATTCTACAAGATTGCAAGAATTAACCCCCTAAGTTGTTCTTTCAGATTCTATTTCTCCATAGAGTTCAGCTAACTTTTTAAATTCAGGTCCCCAGTCTCCAAGGTAGTGATAATCCTGGTCTGACTGTGTGGTCGCTGAATCCAGTGAGCTGATGGACCCAGCCTCTGATCTCTGACCTTCATAAGCATAAGTCTGAAGAGAGTCATAAGGGGGGACGCTGGGGTCTAGGTCGGCTTCTGCCAGTTTTTGCTTGATAAATTCCTGAACATCTATACTTTCCAGGGTGGACAATGTCTGGTGTCTGGGGGTGAGTTTCACTTCGGGTCTGATATCTCTCCGATACTTGAGCTCCTCAGCGGCAGATGGGTTCCTCAAGGCTGTGATGTCAAAGGCCTCGGTGTCTTCCTCTCCGCCACCCTCGTCATCATAGGTGACCACATTCTCCCTCACGTCCTCCTCAGAGATGATCAGCGGCTCTTTTTTGCTGCGTCTCAGGGTGATAAAAAGTACTACAATTGCTGAAGAAAAATGGAAAAGAGGATGGAGAGTTAGAAAAAAGGATGGAAGTTCTTGGAGATTTGACATCAGCAACTACATTCTATTTAGGCTTGCACTGTAACACCATCCTGATCTCTGCACTTTCTGGATAACAGTTGAAGGGGTTTCTTTTTTGTTTGTTTTGTTTTCTTTTGGTTTTTCACTTGTTTGTTTGTTTTAAATCTCAAGGAATGTGAAAATGATTTCTCTACAAGGCCTTGGGAATCACTGATCTTTTCTAGAAAAACACAATATTTTCATTTGTCAGGCCTATGATTTCAGGATTCCTGGCTCACCATGGTCTGTCATCCAGTCTGCACACTGAGGGAAACAGATGATGGAAGAGCACAACGGAATTTTCCCTGGGAGAATAACGGTGGGTGTTGGTCTATGTATAGATTCTAGGCAGATACACTAAAGGAAGGACATTTTTAGTTTCTGTCAAATAGGAAGGAGCCCGTACTTTAAACCCTTTCCTTTTGATGCTTTGTAGGAAACCAAAGCAGGAATATTTTACATGTTTGATCCCTTTTGCTCAGTATTTTTTAGAATTATATTATCAGGCATTAATAATTGCATATATCTCTCAAGCTGCAGAAGATGTTATTTTATTTGTACTTAAGTTTCAGAGGAACTTTTCAGATTACCGAATGCTTTTTACATAACACTTTGATTTAATCCTCACAGAAAAGTTTGGGTTTCCTCAAGGAAACTGAGGCTCAAGAGAAATTCCATGAATAACTAAGATCCTACTCTAAGATCACACAAATAGCAGATAGAGGAACTTAGACTGTAACCTACAACTTCGCACACCAAAGGTGATGATGCTTCCGTTATCATATTCCATTTTGTTATTTAAAAAATATGGAACAAGGAACTGAGTTGGGCATGTGGATTATTACCAGTAATGTCACAACCATTAGATGAAATGATGTAAATGGATCTTGGGCAGTTTGCTTTGGCTGTTTCTCAGTATTTTCAAATCTTTCTATTTGATGATACTAAGCCATTACTAAATAGAAAGAATTACCTTACTTCTACTTTGTGCTATTAGGCCCAGTGTTCTTTACTTCAGCTTTACAGAATGTTCTTGGTCAGCTGAAATCTAGGTTTTATGATAACAGTTATTAGGGGCATTGATATTTTAAACATTCTTTATAATGTGATAATCAAAGATGTACACTCAAAAGGCATGCATATCTGTGTGTGTATAATGTGTACATATATGTATAACATAGATAAATATGCATATATAGAAACAGTTTAGATATATACAGCATGTGACATACTTATGCTATACACACACACACATACAAATATACACCTACAGACATGTATTTTTATCTGAAATTCAGGTTTCTGTATTGTATTTTATCTATTTATTTCTGTATACTGTATTTTACCTGGCAACTTTACTGATAGGTATCTTTAACAAATACATTTTATGCATATCCCTAAATGTTATAATAAATGAGCCTTGCTTGTTTTTAAACTAGATATCACAGTGTATATGAACTTCGAAGATGACAATAGAAAGTGGAAAAGGAGATTTTCAAGCCAGAAGTGCAAAGGACAAATATCAGAGAATTTACTACACATGGAAAGAGATGGTCACAATGAATTAGAGAATCTAATTTGCAGAGAAAGGGCAAGTGAGCATCTACAGGAATGAAGAAAAAAAGTATGTAAAAAGGCAAAACATCTGTAGAAAGGGCCAGAAAATCGTCTGGAAGTGTATGGAATAAAAGGACTCGGTAATGGCAGAATTGACCAAAGGAGATTCTGGTAGACAAGTGGAAACAGTGAGTCACTGTGTCTGAAGTGATTATAGAAAGCTGAAATGAAATGCAGATGCCATATGTGGCCCTGCTTCACCAATATTATGTTTGTTTGTTTATTTATGATCTAAGATTTTTATTCATAAATAATCTCTAAACCCCAACGTGGGGCTCTGACTTGTAACGGCGAGATCAAGAATCACATGCTCTACTCACTGAGCCAGCCAGGGACCCCCAAATATTATGCTATTTAAAAATAGTTTCTCAAACCTGCTACTTATACTTTGAAGACATTATTAATACAGCACCTTATTTTGATACTTTTGCTGATTGTAGCAAATATGTATCTAATACCTTACTATTTAAAGATTTACTTATTTTGAAAGATTGGGGGAAGGGCAGAGGTGAGGGACAGAGAATCCCAAGCAGACTGCCTGCTGAGCATGGAGCTTGACACAGGGTTTGATCCCAGGACCCTGAGATCATGACCTGAACAGAAATCAATGGTGGACTCTTAACCAACTGAGCCACCCAGGTGCCCCAATACCTTGCTATTTATTTCAGTGTTAAACCTGCTTAGGGCATTCTAATTCAATGTCCCAAATAGCATCCCCAATAACTTATTTCATTCCATTCAGAGGCTTTGATTTATCACCCATTATATATTTCTGCTCATCTTTATGATTAAGGAGGTTGTTCTAAATAAAAACATCTATTTATACAAATTTTTTAATAGTAAAATGTCTTACTTTTGTCAATAAACCAAGTTATTTTTTTAATGTTAAAATTATCGATTGATTTCAAGGGAGTTTATGTGCACGCATACCAGGGAGAATGTGATCAATATTATTATTAAAGTATGGAGATAATTTGCATCTTTCACCAATACAAGTGCCCTGTTTGCCTAATGAAATATAGGGGATAAAGCTGGAATTATCATTATGACAGCTCATATTTACTTATTTTCCCAAATTAAAAAAAATATTCCTGATATATTTTGACTCAAAATATAGACATTAGTTAAGTTTGAACTCTGAGGTCTCACACTATCTCTTTCCTAAGCATGGACAGTCATTTGCCAGTGACCAGAGATTTCTAGATTTAGTCCATATCTATTTAGTATATCAACATACAATTAACCATATAATCTGGGACATTTTTAAGACGAAACAGGGATTTCATTTATAATTACTTTAGGACAGCAGGGCAAATATGGACATGTGGTCCCCCTAGTCAAAGATAATTTTAGAGAAACTCAGAAAAGAATGTGGAAGCACTGATAATTAGGTGTGTTTCCAGGGAATTGCCTTATATTCATTTTTGTTCAGTCAATGTTTCTGGAGCAAATCATACACAGTACAGACTCTGTAAATAATTCTTAAGTGGACTAACAAAAGAATAATCTCTGTAGAGTGATGATGTGGCATAACCTCACTAGGAAAATAATTTTTAAATATAGTTTTAAGTCAGCTTATGGTCATTAATAATACCAAATACCTAATTTTGCTTGATAATAATTTTTAATGTTTGAAAGCCAAACTAAACATTTGCCAAAAAAAAAAATCCACAAATCAAATATATTTTAGAGAATGAAGATAACAATTACATACACAGTTTTGAGAGTTAAAGCTCTTTTTAAAAATGGCAGCCAAATGAGTATTTTCAAATGACTTCCCTCCCCCTCACAGTCTAGCAACCCATACATGTGAAACAAGGTACCTCTTCTTAAAGTGGGTTATTTGGGGAAGAGATAACTTGACAGAGCCATGGCATTATAAAATAAATGAGATAGAGTGCTTACCCCTTTGTTCAAAATTATATAAGATTTTCAGTATTTTGAAATTTTATATAATCTGGATTGAAATATTAAACTGTAGTGTTTGGGGAGGATTTTATTCTAATGACTATTTTATTCTTGGTTAGCATATTCCTTTTCCTTCTCTTTGAGTTTGGTTAGGATTTTAAATTCATTTTATTCTCTTTATTTATGAAACTTAAAATGAATTTACTGAGTTTTATTCATTTATTTTATTCATGAATGAATTCAAATTTAGGGAAACATTTTTGTATTTCCTTTCGCATATCATTCCACTCATTTATTAATTTATTTATCCATGATTCCACAGTGCTCAGACTTCTAAGGGGTTTTGCATTTTCATAACGTAAACTGTCATACTGCTTGCATTTGAATACATTATATACTGACTCCCAACATATTTCCCCAAAATACTTTTCATAGTAGAATTTTTTTTTTTTCCCATAAATATCACCTCGTTCTTTTTTATACCATCTTATGTTGGTACCAAGTTTGGCAGAAATGAGGTGGCCCAAGTCAGGAAGATTACTTTTACTAGATCCTGTTGTGCTATTGGTCATACCAGTTGATGGCACTTCTCACTGGAACTTATTTTTGCAGACCAAGGGGAGCTCATACAGTCATGTCAGATAGCTCAGCTGACAAGCACGTTGGCACGTGTCTCCACTTTGATTCCACCTTTGTTCCTAGTCCTTCACACTCCTCACATTAAATTTACCCTGATCCTCATTGATCAGGAAATTTATATCCAAGAGTAGGAACAGTCCAGATGGTAGACTCATCTAAGTTACCTGCTTATATGTGGTGTGTGGACTGAAGGGCAGGTGACAGAGGCCTGATTCAGAGACTGACTCAGTGGTTTATTGTGCTAAGCTATAATTTCTGTTTGCTCTGGATCATTACAAGGGATGGGATGCAGGTTGGGAAAGAAATGTCAGATCCCCAGAAGGGAAAAAGAACTCTAGTTATCCCTCCTCTAGCACCAAATTCTGATTGCATCATGAAGGCTCACCCTAAAGTCTCTCCCCTACATCCCATCAAAAAAGGGTCTTAAAAAGGTAATTCTGACAAATCATAACCTGACTCACGATGTGCACATGTACCATTCAAAGTGAGGCCCACATGCATGGAATCTATAAGAAAACATAAATAAGCACCACAAAATTTTATAGATGACTCTAAGGTTCTTTACTAGTTGATACTTTATTTTTATAGAGTTGTAAATAGAAACAAGAGACTGTAGAGGTCGCCTAAGATTATACAGTTAATTAGTGGCAAAACCAGGACTGGGTTCATATAAGTCATTTCTACAAACAGCTGATAATCAGAATGCTTTTCAATATTAAAATATTCATTTCAAAATTTGTTTAGCTGTTAGTTTTTAATGTTATTTCAGAATTACAAAAAGTTCTAAAATAAAGTTTTGCTACCTCTGGTGTTGCTGATCTTTTCCTTGGAAATTATGAGCTTGCACGGTAACAAACATTATTTTAAAATTACAAATGACTACATTCTGAGTCTAGTGGCTAAGTATCTTCTGAATAAAAATAAAAATCCTTACAACTGTCATGAAAAGTAAAAATTACATTATAAATAATGGTTGTTTAAACCTGAGGTAACAAAATGATTCTGCAAGCTTTGGATAAAACTGTAAAAATACATTTGAGATTCAATAAAAATTGAAGGAGTAAACATATTAAATGGCACCTCTGTTTCATTAGTCCTCTGGGGGAGCATAAAATTTAGAATGCTCTCTTATTTACCCCAAAGGAGAAATGACATTTTTATAAAATCTATTAAAGGGAAGCATTGTTTCATACTATAATAAAATGTTATTTTACATAATATAACTTAAACATACCTGTATATTAACATTTTTAATTAAATTTTTAAGCCTTTACCTTAGTATACAAAGATGGTTTGATGGTGCTAGATGAAAACAAAAGGCACAGATAAGTGACGCCTCCAAATGAACTATCTTTCAAAATCAGGACTTTGGTAGACCTTATACTAAAGTCACAGAGTTCTATTCTTTGTGGTTTAGGATAGGAACACTGGAGGGATCAATATTTGTACTTGCTTTATTTTATCTTATTTTCCATTTTTGTTTTGTATGTGAGCTTTTGTTTTGAATTTCAAACAGAAAAAAAGTAATACATAAATGTCTAAAGCAAATAACAGTTGAAACCAATTAATACATAAAGAAATAAAATTTAGAAAGCCGAATTTTCCTGGTTTCCTTCACCTTGCATCTACTATAAGACTTTACCGCAGTGAAATACTTCCAGTGGAGGGGCACTGAACCTCCACGCTCCACTTTGCTAAGTGCAATTGGTACGTTTGTTTTTTATTTTTTTTAATTATTTATTTATTTGAGAGAGAGAGAGAGAGAGAGAGAGAGAGTGCATATGTATGGGTGGGGGAGGGAGGTGGAAGAGAGGAAGATGAATAAGCAAACTCCTAGCTGATCAGGGAACCCAGTGTAGGGCTTGACCCTGGGATCATGACATGAGCCGAAGGCAGATGCTTAACCTACTGAGCCACCCAGACGCCCCTGGTACATTTAGATATACAATTTACTTAACCTTTGATCAACTTTTGACACTGTTGAATGCTCTGTTCTCTTTGATATACTTTTTACCCTTTGACTTTGATGACATCATACTTTACTTTACTTTAATTCCTCTTTCTTCTCTGACGTCCCCTTCACTCTGTCCTGCCATCACATCCTTCTTGACATGGTGACCATGCTGGAACTCATCACAGCTCATCCTAGTTTATTATCTCAACAAAGTGTACCTCTGGTGCCCCTAGCTCAGTGAGGAACAGGGTCCACATTCAGCAAGAGATAGAAAGTTTTCTTTGATCTTGTGCTAACTCAGACAATATCTAATTTATCCAAGATCATTTTTTATTTTAATTTCAGCTATTTTGTTTTTATCCCTTGGAAACTTGTTCCAAGAAAAGACACCACGTCATAAACATTAGGTATTTGTTCACTGACACAAAATTATCAGTGCTGTAGTTTTCAAATGGAATCTCAGGGACTGCCAGTAAATATTTTGTTAAAATTTTGATAAATTTTCACCCTGGCATCTGCATCATATTATCCAAGATCACTTTTGATTTCACCTAAGACATCTTGATCTTATCTACTCTTCACCTCTGTTCTAACTCTGCTAGTCCAAACTATGCTGAGAGAGACTGCTATCCTAATTTCATTGTCTACATGCTCTGCCTCCATTGTGAGACTTGTTCTCTACTTCATTTATAGTCATCTTTTTTCAAAATACAAATCTTATGATGGACTCTCTTGCTTCTCTTGCTTTAAATGTCTCTTTATACTCTAGAATGAAGCCCAACATCTACCATGTTCAATGAAGCCCCAGAGTGGTTTTTGTTTGTTTGTTTGTCTGTTTGTTTTGTTTTGTTTTGCCTCAAACTGTCTTAACGCTGCTGAAATAACCATCCCACTTCTCAGCCTCATTCTACCTTCTTCTGCTCCTTCCGTACTGGCCATTTGTCTTTACCTCAGGAACAAAATAAGGAACATCCCTTGCAAAAAAAAAAAAAAGAAAAAAGAAAAAGTCTTTCTCAACAAAGCATATACATATATATATTTTTTTTTTAATTTTCCTTCCATGTGTGAACAGTACTGAGAAACAAGCAAAAGAGAAGGTTGCTAAGAGAAAGTGTCAAAGAATTGGGAGAACATGCTGGGTAAGTAAGTATGTACCCACTTTGAACAATGAAACAGAAAGATTCCTTACATCTATTTCTCTTGTTATAGAAAAATCTGGATTTGTGCTCTTGCTGAAATAGCAGTTTTAAAGAGTTTATAGTAATAGCTTCATATGTGGTCATGATAACTTAGACTATGAAAATGATAATCCATAATGAGAAAGTGCCCTATTTTTTATTAAAATGAAATATAATGCAAATCTCAAGTAAAAATCCTATTAAACAATAAAATTTAACATCTCTAAGGCCAAAATTATTTAGAGCAGCACTTTAAAATTCAGCTAACATTGATGATTAAGTAATATTTTTGACCAATAGAAATTGCTACAAGAAATCTATTTTTTATTTGGTGTGTAGATTCATTATATTTATTTATTTATTTTATTTATTTTTAAAAAAGATTTTACTTATTTGACAGACAGAGATCACAAGTAGGCAGAGAGGCAGGCAGAGAGAGGAGGAAACAGGTTCCCTGCAGAGCAGAGAGCCTGATGCGGGGCTGGATCCCAGGACTCTGGGATCATGACCTGAGTGAAGGAAGAGGCTTTAACCCACTGAGACACCCAGGCGCCCCTAGATTCATTTTAGAATGATATCAGTTATCTTCTTTGAAATCTATTATAAGAGTCGTTTTAGTACGGTATTTAGAATTTTTAGTATGAATTCTTTTTAAAATGGATCCTTCCCCAATATTTCTCTTATAGTCTATCTTTTCTTCTGATATTTCAACTCTTTCATTCCATTTGAATCAAATTATTTATAGATCAGCTATGGTATTGAGAAAGCTAAACAAGAGGAAGTCTGTGCAGTTATATTTTGTGGTCCAAATTCTTGGGTTCTGTCAAAACGACTTTCTTTCTCTCTCTTTTCTAATGCACTGTTGGCCATTGTAGGGTACATTCCGAATCATCATCACACAACGTTAGGAGGCTGGAGGACTTACCTAGGAGAATGACAACACACAGCAGAATAGCGATTAAGGCCCCTGTACTCAAGCCAGCCGAGGACAGGAACGCTTCCGCGTGGCAGGTCCGCACTCGCCCATCTCTCTCGCATGCACAAACCCTGACGGTGAGGGTGCTGCTGCTGCTGAGAGAGGGGATTCCACCATCAGAGATCATAATGGGGAGATAATACACATCCTGAATAGTTCGACTAAATCTCCTCCGCCTTGTCAGAATGCTGGCTGTGTTATCTATGACAGACATAAGCAAAACAAAATGTACTTAGTAAAGCCGCCATTCAAGATTCACATTTCCTTTAATGGATAAAATGGGTATCTGTGATTTTTTTTTAATTTTAGTTTATGAAATGGACACAGGAACATGAAGGGGCGATCGTTAAAGCATGACTAATAAATGTTCTTAAACTGAGATACTGACTTGGAAAAATTAATTGAGCCCAAACTAAAAGAGAAGGGGAAGAGTAGAAGACAGAGGAGTGAACAAGCAGTCAACATTTCGGACATGGACATAATAGCAAAAAGATTTAAAAGACAACAGATGGCTTCAAGCCAATGGGTCCTGGCCTTTGAGAAGAGACAGTGGTCCCCATCCCAAACTTTGTGACTCAAGGTAAGCAATAGGAACAGACATCTCTATTATTAGCAAACTACTCAGGCGATGTTAATGTACAAAAAAAGGGGGCCACTGGTATAGATGATAAATTACAGAGATCAGCTCAATTGACAAACTTTTTCAGACTTAATTGTGATTTGAATCATTCTCGTTATAGTAGGTGCAACATGGAAAGTTAATGATGAATAAAATAGTTAATTCTATTTTTATGTACTTTTAAAATACTATATATTATATTAAATGCCTGCATGATAAATCTGTGGATTAAAGATTTTGATCTAGCCACAAAACCTCATAAGGGAGAAGATGTTAAATTTCTAATTTTTTCAGAAAAATCATTTTTACTATAAATAATAATTAAAAAAAAATAAATAACCTAAAACCCAGAACATAAATTGCCCAAAATCAAAGAGCTGAATAATCAGGATACAACCTCAATACATTCTAGAACCCTGCTCAAAACCACAATGTCATGCTGCCTTTTTACTCATTAACATTATACTGATGTTCTCAAGTGCACATAGTATATGGTAATCTTAGTATTGTTATTCCTCATTCCAGCAAGCCTGTTGACCAAAAGACCCGTTTGGTATATACTTTGAGGTGCTGCGCAGATTCCCGGCATGGAATAACTAGTTAACCTAGCTGTAGATTATCACCTGGCCCTATGTTGCATCCTTCCGGAGCAGCAGTTCCTTAGTGACTCATTGCTCCAAGGTTATAAAGGTCTAGCCATTTCTACTGAATGTAGACATAGTGAATGGAAGGTTTAGTTCCACAGCTTTACTCTTGGGTCAGCGGTGAGGCACTAAATTTGCATAGCAGTTCAATTTCTCACTCTGTTCGACCTTCTTCCTCTCACTGCCCCACAGATGTTGATCCCAAGGGCACACTCCCGCAAACAACCTGCACTCTAAATTCCAGTTCAGAGTTTGCTTCTGGAGAACCTAACCTGAAGCAACACCTGTGAGTTAATTATCTTTCACTAAAAAGTAAGTGAATCATTACACAATGACATTTAGGAATTCTTTTATCTCGTCAATTGTTTTATTCTGAAAATTGGAATTCTGTTACATATGAGGATGTTTAAGATAGTCATGATACAATAACTTACAGCTATGCTTTCTTGATTTTACAGGGCCAAATTAAAGCAATAGAAAGATAAACTTTTCAAATATTCAATGTAATACAGGTAATAAAACACATGAATCATATATATGTATTCATAATCATATACACACATACACATATGACTATATACATATGCCTATGCATATAATTGAAGGTTTGTTATAGATCACAAATAGCTAATAAGAAATTACAAAAGGTTTTCTTACCCAGTAGAAAAGGAAAAAAAAAATGTATCAATTGTGTATTCTTTTTTTTTTAAGATTTTATTTATTTATTTGACAGAAAGAGAGATCACAAGTAGGCAGAGAGGCAGGCAGAGAGAAAGGGGGAAGCAGGCTCCCTGCTGAGCAGAGAGCCCAATGCGGGCTCGATCCCAGGACCCTGAGATCATGACCTGAGCTGAAGGCAGAGGCTTAATCTGCTGAGCCACCAAGGGACCCCATCAATTGTCTATTCTGAAACAAGTTGTGAATAGGGAAAGAAAAATAGCATAAATTCATCATGCGTGTTATATAACCATATAGTCACAAGCACTCTCCCAGAAACCTGAACTTTGTGGAAGCACATTTCTTGGCTATAGGATGTTGCATCATGATTAATATAAATTCGCCTATATGTACAACTCTCTAGTCCAAGGCAAAGGTATGAACTAAGTGTTCACAGGCACAAACATGTTTGAGAATCTCACTGCTGGCCTCTGAAGAAGAGATGTAAGGCACTGGCCCTTGATTTCAATAAACATAATTAATAATGTGTAGAATGACCTAACATGCAACGGTGGGTATGGACTCCCTTTTATAGCTCTCACCTAATGTTCACTTTATATCCTTAATTTGGAAGCATACTCTGTTGCAGAATAATTATTTGAAATGCAATCAGAAACAAAGAGAAAGCCAGGAAATGTTTCTACTACACCTTAAGTTCTTAAATAGAAAGCTCTCAGACACAGAAACATAAAAAATATTCTTTCTTTCTTTTTTTTTTTTTTTCCAGGTGAAGTTTTGACTTTTGAAAGGAAAAGAGGATTCATGAAGCAAAGAGCTTCCTACCTAGAAAGATTTAGCTGAGCAGAATAATGAGCTCCTGAAAAGGGATATTGTGTACCTAACCGGAACTGCAAAAAATGTACTTGACTGAAAGCTCACTGAACTTGAACAAGGAAACTTTGAACTAAAATGAGAGAGGTAAGAAGATATATATGAATATGTATACATATATATCTTACTTACTTTTATACTTATACACAGGGAACAAAATTTGTCTTGTTGAAACTGAAAAATTTGTTGTCAAGAGCAACAACGAATCTCTAAACTTGAAGTACAATTAAAACAGTATACACCAAGTTTTATAGAAAATCTTGACTTCCAAGTGGATAAAAATTAATATGAGCTGAATAAAGGACAGCTATAGTAGGATGGAACATCTGTGAATGAAAAGTGCTAATTATCGATTCCAAATAAAGGACAGTCTCTAATAATGCGTACCTAAGTTTGTTCCTTAATTTTAATTCTCAATACTTTGGATGAAGACAGAAGCTCGTAGAACTCTTAGAAACCAAGCAAACATATTGGTTAGGATTTAAAAAGACACTGAACAGCTAGCGCAAAGACCTTACCCTAAAACAATGTGAAACAAAGATGCTTATTAGATGGCAAAAATATCGTATAAGAGAGATCTTGAGTACCAGCAATTATTTTGCAATATATATCTCTGAAAGCAGGAATAAGGCCACAGGGAGGTAAAACAAAACAAAACAACTACAACAACAAAAACTAAAACAGCCTTGGAATCATTGAATAAGGGTATGAGATATCTATGCATCTCTTTATTGAGAAGACTGCACTGGAATAATGGGTGTACGTTTGAGTCTCCTGGCTTAAAAGTGCTCCTTTACCCCAAAAGGTGTTTTAGAAGACTTTGGAAAGAGAAAAAAAAATTAGAGTAATATATCATGGGAAGAGTCTTTGAAGCAATAGTGTGAAAACTCTACATGGCCCATATGAACTCAGGTGACCAAGTGGTCTCAGGAATTGGCCAGAAAAATTGGGAAACTCTCTTAGTAATTCATGTCTTTCTGAGTATAATCAGCACATTCCTGATATTCCCATTAACTCTATCTTCAATGTAATTTAGAAATAGCCTTGAATGTGATTTACTCTTAAAATAGATGACAAAGAATTTTTTATTTTAATGTATAGTCTATTGCTTTCTTTTGAAAGTATATGGGCACATACAGGAGGAGGTAGGGAGACTGCTGTGCATATGGAAGTTCTGACTCACGAGGACGCTTGATTTTTTTTTTAAAGATTTCATTTATTTATTTGACAGAGATCACAAGTAGGCAGAGAGGCCGGCAAAGAGATGGGGGGAGGGATCCGGCTCCCCGCTAAGCAGAGAGCCTGATGCGGGGCTCGATCCCAGAACCCTGAGATCATGACCTGAGCCGAAGGCAGAGGCTTAACCCACTGAGCCACCCAGGCATCCCCTGGACACTAAAAAAATAGTGAAAGAGGTAAGATTTGGAGTCCTTTGACAAGTGATCATAAAAATAAAATTCATTTTGGAGCTTTAAGAACTCCAGGGATTTTACAACTGATTGATAAGTCACAAAAATATTTACAGTAAAATATACTGTTGAATAGATAGGTACACTTGCAACCTTTCTTTCTCTACAGGGACAGAAGGCTAGAGAACATGATAGTACAATGTAAGTTGCATATTAGTTCTGGGATTCAGACAAAAGTTTCTGAAATTACTACTATGTATCCTATTTTTTGTTTATTTAACATTTTTAAAGATTATTTATTTATGTATTTATTTAGACAAAGAGTGAGCAGGGGGAGGGAGAACAAGGAGAGGGAGAGAGAACCTCCAGCAGATTCTGAGCATGGAGCCTAATGTAGGGCTTGATCCCATGACACAGAGATCATGACTAGAGTCAGATGATTAACCAACTGAGCCACACGGGTGCCCTTTTTGTTTATTATTTTGAGAGATTTGAAAGATTCTAATCTCTGGTGCTTCTTGTGTAAACTGTAAAACAATTTAAGTTAAAATAGGTATGCTTTTAAAATACTCCCTGGAGCAAAACAGATCCTATATTAAAGTCCAAAATTGCCTTATATCTTAGTAAGTATTAAAACTATGTGTTCTTCAAAACTCTTTAATTATTAGACACCTATACACTCCCTGCCATTTCATAGGATTCTTTATTTGATAATGTGGGTATGACGATATGCTGTATCTCAACCGTAGCCAACAGACTATTAAAATATTTCCAAACCCACCAGAACAAAAGCAGTGTTTGAGATTCCCCAGATGTGGATTTCTAATTGAACTAAACTTTTTTTTTTTTGATTATTAAAAAAAATGTCTGAAGTGAAAGCTAGGAAATAAAAACTTCATTTTTCCAGACAAATAAATATACATAACTTCATATTGTTTTCATTTATTTTCTGGCCTAGCAGCCATAAGATCCATTCATAAT